CTCCCTGACCCATCTTTGAGCCAGAGATACATGCTAGGGAGCCCAGGCTGGCCCAGATGGTCAGTATATTCCCCCCCCCCAAGCAAGGGCCGGGGTGACAGGCCTGGCCACCCTACCCGCTGTTGGCCCCCCCCCCCATCCAGCCTTGACCTGAGTCTTTACGCCAGGGGAATGTTGGACGCACACATGTGCACTGAGAGACTGGCCTCCACGAGTCGAGACTGAGGAAGACCCGGCCTCCACCTCCAGCCTCAGCCTCAGCCTCCAGCACAGCGCTAGAGTCAGCCTGATGTTCTGAGGCCTTCACTTTGTGGGGCTCTGTCCCTGCCCCAATGTCAGGGAATGGATGAACGAGACCCCTGTGGGACACTGGGAGAGGGGGTGCGGCCTCTTGTCAAGGGTTCCCCGACTTGCCTGGAAATGGGAAGTTGGGACTCGGGGTGGTGGTGGGCTCCGCCATGGTCACCCACAGTGCCAGTGACAGGAGAGGCCACAGCCCCCTGAGGTGTGTGCGTCCCTGGAATTATAACTGCACCTTTGGGGGGAAAAAGTACTTCTTGGCCGTGTTGGGTTTGGGTTTGTTAAGCAGACGCTCTATGGTCTGAGTCGCGCACCCCAGCCCCTCTAGTTTTATTTCGCAGTTTCTGCCCAGGGCTGGACCTCGATCTTCCTACCTAGAACCTCCACAGAACTGAGAGGACAGGCCCGTGCCACCATGCCCCGCATGCTGGCTGAAATGAGGCTCACTAGCTTTTTAGCGAGGTTGGCTTAGGATTACGATCCTGCCAATGTCTCCCTCCCGGGTAGCTGGAATTGCAGGTTTGAGCCACGGCACCTGGCTCACACATGCTGTTTTTATGACAGAGGGGCCGGGCTGTGGGGTCCGAGGGGGAGCAGCTGCCTAACAAGTGGGAGGTGCAGGCTCTGCACAATGACTGCTTGGGGAGGGGCTGGGAAGGCGGCTCAGTGATAGGGTGCTTGTCTCGCATGCATGAAGCCCTGGGTTCGATTCCTCAGCACCACATAAGCAGAAAAAGCCGGAAGTGGTACTGTGGCTCAAGTGGTAGAACGCCGGCCTTGAGCTGAAGAGCTGAGGGACAGAGCCCAGGCCCAGAGTTCAAGCCCCATGACCAGCCAAAAAAAAAAAAAGAAGACACCCCAAGCCAAGCATTTGGTGGCTCACACCTGTCATCCTAGCTACGCAGGGGGCTGAGATCCGAGGACCAGGGTTCAAAGCCAGCCCTTGCAGGAAAGTCCGAGACTCTTACCCCCAATAAACCTCCCCCCTCAAAAAAAGCTGGAAATAGAACTGTGGCTCAAGTGGTAGAGCACTAGCCTTGAGCAAAAAAAGCATAGGTTAAAAAACCCAGAAAGACACCCAACGTCCCCGCCCCCCCCCCCATTCAGGACCAAGGGCAAGGGTGTCATTAGGGCATGCCGCTCAGCCACGCTGCAGGTCAGGAGGGTTATTTGGGGTGCAGTCTACTTAGGGCAAAGGTCACTAACGGGAGGCCGACTGAGCGGATTTGGCTGTCTTCCTGCAAGTTTGAGGAACTGCCAACACGAAGCCTGTGGAAATGGCACTGAGCGGGCTGGGGCTGCCCAGGCCTGTGCTGCCCCCTGGTGGGCCTCGGAGGAGCTGCTGGCAGGCCAGCCCCAGTGTCTGTCCTCCGCTCCTGCCTCTACTGTCCTTCCAACTTAAGCTCTGGAGGAAAAGTGTCCCCCAGGGTCCCGATGTCCCCCCCACATCCCAAGCCGTGGCTGAGCTGGGCTAGAACTCTCTGATCCCTAGTCAATCATAACTTTTCCTTTCTTAATAACTCTGAAATCCAGGGGCTGGTGGCTCCCGCCTTTAATCTTAGCTGTCAGGAGGCTGAGATCTGAGGATCATGGTTCAAAGCCAGCCCAGGCAGGAAAGTCCTTAAGATTCTATTTCCAATTAATCAGAGAAAAAGTCAGAAGTGGCGCTGTGGTTCAAGTGGTAGAGCACTAGCCTTGAGCAAAAGGAGCTCAGGGACAGTGCCCAGGCCCTGAGTTCAAGCCCAAGGTCTAGCAAAAGACTAAAATCAAACCAAATAAACTGGGCACTGGTGGCTCACGCCTGTCATCCTAGCTACTCAGGAGGCTGAGATCTGAGGACTGCAGTTCAAAGCCAGCCCGGACAGGAAACTCCATGAG